CTGATCAACCACTATGTTACTGGGGTGTCTTTTAATCATCTTTATGATGAAAACTATTGAGCTTTGAATTTTGAAAAAACAAGGGAAAAGAGGAAAATTCTTGAGATTTTATCTTTCTGCAATAATATTTTCGAGCATTATCCTTCAATTTCCATTTTTTTTTTGTTCCAATGGAGCCTTGGAAATATCCCTGATTGTTGACTTCCAACAGAGCTTGTACTAGAAATGAAAGTCCTTGATTCAGGGGCAAGGATCAAAATTTCATTTTGGTGCATTGTTTCGGTCACTTAGAAAATGAAAACATTTCGACGTGTTTCGGAAACAAAATGAAAAAAATAAAATATTTAAGAATTATTTTTCCAAAACATTAGTCAAAAATCAAAGTATCTTGAATATCTTAAAACATTACAAACAATTGTACAAATGTATTGAAACATTACAAAATACATCTCAAAGTACTAGAATTTTAATTCCATCACTGATTCGTTTCGATCTCCTTAGAAACGGAAACGTTTTGGACATTTCTACCGTTTTAAAACGAAATTTTAATCCGGCCAAAAAAGCATTCTTAATGAAATTTTATATGTAAAATCTCCCTACTATGGGTCTTTCTGCGGATGACTGTGTCACTGTGAAATGCCCTAGAAGATGAATTCTCCTAACTTTTTGTCTCAAATGTTTCTGCTCAAATTAAATTCACTAAGTATTTCAGTTGGTCAGATACTTGGTGAAAATTAATCAGTATGATGCATGTCAAGTTAGATATTGAAAGTGATTAGGAAGTATCCAGTTGACTGGGTGTGGGTGAGTAACCTAGTCAATCTTTACTTCCAATTGACTGGGTCTTTAGCAGATTTAATCCTTGTTTGCTATGCGACTAGGTTTCCAATTATCTGCTTTATGAGTTCACCAATCAACAAAACATTTATGAATGCTGATTTAGATGTAATAAATAAGAAAAACATGAATCCAACGTCCACAAATATGACACAGAGATTTATAGTGTTGGATCACATCCACAGGGACCTAGATGTACTCTCAACCTTCGTGGTTGGAATTTCCCAATCCACTAATCCTCAAATTAACTAATCAAAACACCAATATTAACAACAATTTATGGTTTTCAGTAGGATTACCATGAACCTTAAGTCCTAATCTCAATATATTCACTTTAAACCTAGTAGTTTGACCTTCCCTTGAAGATCACACTCAATCATCACTGACTCAGTGAAGGATGTGCGCAGGATGAAGTGTGCCTAAGAGTACACCAACTGGACATAGTCAAGTGCAAAGAGATGAGAATTTTGTTGTGACAGGCTCCTGATTTGAGTACTGAGGTAGATAATAGATTTACTATTGAGTCTTAAAACTCAAGCTCTTAAACAGTTAAACCCTTATACACCCCTCTCAACTCCAACCGTCGTTCAAGCTCTCTCGTATGCTTTGAACTCCGATGCTTCAAATGGTAAAATTCTACAACCTACTCATAGGCAGATAAATCTAACAATTGTCAACAAATGCGTCAGCTACCATATGCACAAGTTTGCATGTTTTCTTTTCTTCTTAAAAAAATAGTTTTTGCTTTCTCCACTTTTGTTGGCCAAAGAAACTTAAGCCACACATTTAGTCAACAAATTTAACCTCTGTTGCTTCCTTTGTTCCTTTCCAGACAGTCAAAATTTTCAAATGGACGTATTGAGGATCCAGTTGACTGGTAAGAATCCAGTCAACTTTGGAATTCAAATTATAGTAGAATCTGGCAGTTGGCAGTCGAGTGGGTTTACAACAACTATCAACTTTCATCCTTAAGCTCCTTTATCAACTGCAATAGAGTATTTGTAGATTTCTTGTCCTAGTATCATTCTAACTTACTCCCTCCCATTACTTATCTCAAACTTTAGATCCTTCAAATGCTGTCACTGTTGCCTTTAGTACTCATATTTAAGGTAGGTAGCCATTTGACTTGCACCCCATGTTTAAGGAGTTTAACTTGGATCTGTTGCTCTCCCACTCAATTAAGTTGACTACTATAATCTCCTTAGTTCATTTCTTATCTTTTTCTATATCACCTGATACTGTTGTAGCCATCAACAAGCACCACAAGGTTCTAGCATATTTAGGCCATCCCACTGCCACTTTCATCAACATATTGCTAAGGACAATCCCCATTTACGGTGAGTGTGCTGGAAATCATGGGGTGCCGAGGCGGCATAAGTCTTAGCCTATACTAAACCATTTTTTTTCCCGGCTAACCTTTTTTTTTCCCCTAAGGTTGAACTAATAGTTGAAGGAGTCATCAGGGCATTAGTGCTGCTTTTGGATAGAACAATCATCAAGTGATGTCGAATTGAAGTTTACAAAAGTGTTTAGGGTGTAGGGTTAATGAGATCATGTAGGATTTTCGGATTACCCTTTGTAATATCCCACACTAAAAAAATAAATAAAAAAACGTGACCAAATCATATTGAGAGATTTCGAATAAAATTACGTGGAGCTTACAGTTATTGCTGGAAACCTATATAAGAGTGAGAGAGTAAATCATGGAGAAATAAAAATGGAGCAAATTATAGAAATTAGTGCACGTGTTATCAACTTGTGTGTATAAAGAAGCATAATTACCATAATCGGGTCAGACATTGAACCAGTAAAAAAACCGGGTCAATGGGTCACTGATTCACCATTGGGTCAACTAGCCCAACCTTTCGTATAATAAAACATAAAAAAAATTATAAAACATAATAATTTAGTTAAAAAATATGCAACATGTCCACCAATGCATACAATTTGTCATACAATTTATAAAATTAAGCGGAGAAAAGAAATGTTCGTGAAAAATATCAAATTTCAACTTTACGTCCCCAATTGTCCATCTCCAATCAACAAATATCGTAAACATTTTGCAATAGTGGTCCTCCCTTAATCTGTTACCTTTTTTTTCCCCCCCCTTCTTTTTCATTTCTTTTGAAAGTTCCACATTCTTCACTGAACAATTAAAAAAAAAAGGTTCCTCAATCTTCTTCTTTGAATACCCTTTTCCATTATGTCCTTGATATTTTCATAATAATTTCATCCGTCAATAAAATTCCACATATTACTTCATAGCAGATCTCGTAAAGGTTACATTCTTAAAGACAACTTCCATATCTTTGGACCAACAAGGATTGTTGATGTTAGATTAGGAAGAGGAAGCAATAGGGGATGAAAAGAGAAGATGAACTAGGGGCTGAGAGAGATTGATTGGGTGTGTGGCAGGGTGGTTTGGGGTAAGTGAGTGTGTGAGAGATCGTTATGGTGTAGTGGGTGTGTGGGTGTGTGGCAGTGTGGTTTGAGAGAGATCAACTGTTGGTTTGGCATAGTAAATGTGAGACATCGAGTGTGGGTGTGTGTTTGTGTGAAAGGAGAGAGATTGAGTGGGTGGCGTTTGTGACACGTGACTGAGTGCATCTGATCTGAGAGAGAGAGAGAGATAGAGTAGACTTACAAGCACAACAGGAGAAGGGAGAGAGATCATTTGGTATGTGCATCTGTAAAGATTGAAAAGATGATCGTTGATTTAGGGCAAACATGCTCAAAATAGGGATTTTATATGGGTTGAGATCTGAATCATTAGTTTTTTTTGACTTGTCCGGTTCACTGATTTTTATTAAAATTAGATAGTTTTTACGGTCCATTAACGGGTCATCTGCACAAGTGATCTAATAGCCTAATTGGACCGATTTAAGGGCCGGTTCACTGGGTTGAACTACCGGTCTGATCTGGTTATGATAACACTGTAAAGCAGTGTGGCAGTAGATTAGGAGGAAAAGGGGGAGAAAGAAAGCAAAGAGAGACGGTAGAAAAAAAAGGACCGAGTGTTGTGATGCATTCTGAAAAATCAAATTGTAATCTAGGTATAGACAAAAGAGAAGATGCATAAGGTCAAACTAAATGGACCATAGGATCAATGGCCAACTAAGTTGAATATTGATGAGATCTAAAGTTAGAGATCAATGATGTAAGTGGTTTATCTCACAATATGCATCCGTATATAAATTTCTTTGCAAAGAGTGTGTTTCATTATTATGGTCATTGTATTCCAATTGATTGTTTTATTGTTGATTTTCAATGTTTGTTTGAGCTTTTGTTTGAAGTGTCGTTGTATGTATTATGCTAAAACCATTTTTGTTGGTGAATTGCTTGGGGTCCATCGGCACATGCGTCAGACACACTTAGTGGTATGATAATGATAGTGAGATGTGATTGTGTCTCTAAGGGGCGGTAGATAGAATGAGTTGTACCGAGTGGTGATTAGCATTTTACTGAGACAAACTGAGCATGAAACCATGGGTGGTTTGAAAGATTGAAGTGTGGAGTTTCATATTATGTGTAAAATAATATTCTTTCGTATTTTGTGCTTTCGTGTTTGATTGTTGGTTGTTAGACTATTGTTTGATCCTCTCTATTCTGTAAATGGGGATGGCCTCCCAAGCTCATCCTCATTTATCCCTCTCAAATGCGGGTTTAATTCGTGATGGAAATCAATAGAAGCTCGGATAGTGAGGAATTAGAGATTATAATTTTTATGGAGGAAGTATGTAATATTTGATGTCAATTATAATTTTAAAATTGAGGGATTTATCAATTATCGAGGATATTTAGGGCTCTGTATTGATTGGAAGTAGTTCACGCACCGAACTCTGGAGTTCGGGTTCGGGGCATCCCTTCAATTAAAGTTCTGATTTATGAGAAATAGGTTGAATTCAATATAAAGAACTTTATGGTGTTGGATAGCTGGTAGCATTTGGCAACAAAGATCTTAACATGTTAAAGGGGTCAGCAAGACTTAAAACCTTATGATGTAGGGTTAATGAGAACATAGAGAATAGTCAGATTACACATCAGTCTGAGTTTTATTTTTGAGAAAATCGGTCAATTTTATAAAATCATATCGTGTTGGCTACAGTGATTTTAACATGTTAGAGGGGTCAAAAAGATTTACAAATTGAGCAAATCAAATAGAAATGGTGGATGTTAGTTTCAGGTTGGGTGGCCCATGCCAATGGAGATGGTCAGTGATGGGATATATGATCATATTGGAACAAAGGTCTGGTCCCTGCAAATGCCCTAACTTATTAAGTTATTTATCAAGAATTTAAGTAAAAAATTGAAATAAGATGAAATTGCCATTTTCCATCAGTTTCCAGGGACATTGTAAGAACCTATTTTATCTTCTTTTCCTTCATTTCCCAATTCATTGAACTTTCCATGTATCTATGGTTTTAAATGAGTTTCAAGAATTAAATATGAGTGGAAAGTAGGCAAAACCTGTTCTATTCAAGAAAGATATAGTTGATTTTTAGATATTAGCAATCTCAAAATGAGCTTGGACCAAGTGGGCTTATCTGTGGTTAGCCTAAGCTCACAAAAGAATAGATGGCTAGGGTTGAGCTGAGTTTGGGTCCATGGTAAATAGGTTAGACTTGGTAAATAGTTTAAGCTGATCCTGAACTAACCTCAAAATTCAGCCCAACCTCGTTGTATATGTCTTCACATGGAAGCCATTTATCTGGAGGAGAACATGTAGTGGCAGTAACGCTTTTGGGTTTGGATTGGTTGGTTATGTCACTGGCAACAAGTGACCTATGTGCTATTTGGTGGTCATGAAACCTCCAGACATCAATCTGTCAGCTTCACCAGAGTAATACATCATTGCACATGTTTACCACCTCTCTGTACAATATATGGAAATGCTGGCAGTTAGACGTACAGTTCACATGAACCCTTAACTGTTAGAACCTCTTTTTTTGGTTTTATCTAAGTCAGCCAAATCAAGTTCCACCGAGTCTAATGGTATCGAAATATTGTGGGACCTCCTCTGATATAACTCGTGACCATTCTTCCATCCAGAGTTCAGGGCTGCCTATTTTTGTACCAGAACGCCTTTCATTACTCAGCAAATGCATGAGAATGAATGTCAGATTGGGATAAGAACTCCATTGATCTTCTAGTCAACGAAGCATTTTGTCTGGTGAATGTTCCATGGGCACTTGTTTATTGAACATGTCAATGATTCATTGATGGTATCTACAGCATCCACAGACAATTGTTTCTAGCCTTTTATTTATTTCCATTTCTGTAATGACTTCTAACTTTGTAGTATTGTTTTTTTAACGAATTTATACATTTTGATAGCTCACCTTTTTTTAATTAAAAGAGGATCTATTTCTGGCTCATTTTGTTTCTGTTCATCTTTGTGATCCAGGATTCAAACAATTGATAAATGTTTTTGCCATGACACAGTTGAGGAAATTACGGATGCTCTGGTAAATGATACAACTTGCTCATTTATTGTTCTTTATTTCATTCTTCCTTGTGGTGGTTGTTAAAATTACAAACAAGGAATAGCCAACTGGAGAAGAAACGTAAGCAAGGCGGGGGAGTATGGATTGCCCCTCTCTGACCTGCACTTGATTAGGAACCATGCACTTGATTCATATAATTGGCTGAAATTTTCAAATGAAACTTCTTTTTTTCTTTTCCCGACATCTGATTGACTAGGTTGCTCCTCTTTTGTAGTCCTAAAATGGAATAATTTACTGGTGTGTAAACAATTTGTTGCAAGCTGCTGACCCTAGCTAATGCAAGTTGAGCCTAGGTCAACATTTGTTGCAAGCTGCTGAGTCTGTCAAAATGTCAAGAAAACAATCAGTGGAAAAATTATATGTAACAACTGCTGTGGTGCTTATTGACTGTCTGAATATATGTGATAGGATTCTGAAGCCCAAAACATGGGTTTTGAGCTACAATCTCATCAAGAAGCCTCTTTGGTAGTAAGATTTATGGTTGTTTGGTTAGTGTCGTATATAAAAGGTTTTCAACGTTGTGCTTACCTACTGTTTTGTGGAGTCTATGGCGGGGCTTATTGTTCTGAAGTAAAATCATAGCTGATTCAACAGAATGTTGTTACCAAACTTTGAATCAATTCCAAGAGTTTAATTGGGCAAAACCTAAGATTGTTCTGTTTATTTCTTGTCCTACATGCTTTTTTCTTTTGGTTTTTGGAGTTGCAGTTAAAATTTAAAAAACCTATGCTGTTAAATGAAATCATTTTTCATGACTATAGATCTTTGTATGATTATAGGTTATAAGATTATTGTTTTCTCAAGAAATTCACAAAGATTGAAATTTCTATATTGGACCCTCAATCAAACAATCCATTTTGAGAAAATTGAATACAAATTTTCGTTGAAAACACTTAAAATTGAGTATTATGCAAATAATTGTGTATAGGAATAGGATAATTTGACAAATATAATAAAAACATTTGTCGAAAAAGGTAATGAACATTTGGTTTTGGACTACATTGCTACCTTTTTGTCTGATTGAGGGTGCAATGTGAGAATTTTAACATTTCTGGGTGTAAAGTGAGAATTTGAGAATCTTTTACAGTGCAAACACTGCAAAGTATCATTCACCCTAATTTTCTCCTGGAACTAGTTCTTGTAGAGAATAAAAACCAAAAATTTTAAGGGTCATCCTATTACACCAAATCAAATCGTCCTGTGCCATGATGATTCCCCTTGTAAAGGACCAATGACAGGCAGTATATGGTCCATTTTTTGTACCATGTGGCATAATCATGGATGATACAGTTTTGTACTAAGCCAAGGAGCTTATCTGGGGATTAACTGGCAACAAAAAGAGGAAGAGGGGACAGCTTTCAGCCTTTCACTCCCAAGGCCTATCGGCTGCTTACTTTGTACCTGTGGCAATGATTTGTCGACCCAATTTCTTTCTCGTAAGACCTTCAGAACGTGCAGTGTTTCCAGGGTGTGCAATGCACTTGCAAAAAGCTAATTTGTGCCAAATCTCTTGTTTTAGTGTTACTCTTTGTTGGTTGCTTGATTGGAAGTTCTTCCTTAGCAATGGAAGGACGTAGATGATGCTTTTCATTTTTATTTTGGATTCTTCGTTTTTCAACTTCAATGGTTTTAATTTGTTATTCAAGTTCTTTGTTTTTAAACTTAAATCTCTGCCCTTTCCTTGGGTCAAGATCCGCACCCCGGTGCTCCAAGACTTCTATTGCAATCCACATAGAAAGGGTCCTCGGAACACAAATTGCTAATATTATTATATCTCTGAACTTCACATCGTCTCCAAATCTTGTGGAAGCTTGATTTAGGTAAATTCTGTTACCGATTGACCTAGATGCTTGAACTCTGTCTCTGACTCAATCAGGAAAAAGAGGTTGCGGAATCTTACGATGATTGGTGTTCTAAAGCCCTCAAGAAACTAAAAGAAGCCTCCCCATTGAGCTTGAAGGTCACTTTGCAATCTGTGAGTTGCTAATCCTTCACATGCCCAGTAAGATCTATTTGGATTTTGCTTGTATGACCAGTATTATGACTTTTATATGCCAAATTTAGATTCGAGAAGGTAGGTTTCAGCCCCTGGATCAGTGTCTTGCTCGTGAATATCGGATGTCCCTTAATTGGATCTCCAAAATGGTTTCTAATGACTTCTGTGAGGTATAACTGTGCAGAAATTCTTCTTATAGTACATTATTCGTAAATCATTTCCTACATTATATCTGCTATTGTGTCCTTTATAGGGTGTTCGTGCAAGATTAGTTGACAAAGACTTTGCTCCGAAGGTGCTGCTTAATTTGATGTTCGCTGTCTTTCAAATTGAAACTTTATGTTTGTTAGAAAATTTTGTTAATGGACTCCCAAATTGTGATTTGCAGTGGGATCCACCGAGCTTAAGTGAAGTAACCAAGGACATGGTTGACTGTTATTTTGCTCCACTTTCTGAACTTGAGCCTGAGCTAAACCTGCCCACGGCATTGCGAGAACCTTCCATGTGATGCTAATCCTACAATCAATTTCAAGTTGAGGATTTTCAAAATTTTCGAGTTCTTGACTGTGCTGTGGGGGATGGTTTGGACTATAAAGGTGCATGCATGTTGTAATAGTCTGCCATTGTAGAAGTTACCTTCCGTAGACTCTTTTTCTTGGTTGCATATGTTTCAGTTACACAAAATATAAAGCAAGGGGTCAGTTCGGATTAGGGATGCAACTTGGGCAAGCCACCCCGAACGCAACCCAGAACATTCAGTACTTGAACATAGATTAAGGCTGTTGCACACATCCTTCACTCCCCAAACTTCTCTCTCTCTCACTCCCTCTCTCTTCTCTCTCATACTCCAACCCAGCGTCTCTTTTCTTAGTCTCCCAGATCACGCCTCCTTGAAAGAGACTCCTTCAGACTTTCGTACCCATTATCAAACGCCCCACCAGGACTTCTTTCTCTTTCCGCAATTTCCTCACCAACCCAGCACACAATTTTTTTTTTTTTTTTATTTGCAAACATTTTTCTACATCTGCTAACGCATGCTGATTCAGTCTCCACACTCCAAAGAGAACAATAGATTTTAAGCATTTTTGGTGGATTTAGCTTCGACTGACTTCTGGCTAAAGATCTGAACCGTCATGGGATGGAAAGATGTTGAATTTGTTTGAAGAGCTCTTGCATCTCGACATAAGATAGATCAATCTTAACTATGCTATCGTAATTCTATCTCATTTTGAGTGTTTGTGTTTTATGTATGGAATGTTCTAGTTATTGAATGACTAGTTATTATTCATGTCTAAATGTATTATATATCACAAAAATGTCGATCAGATTCAATAATCTACCCATAAAATCCACACAAATCTTTGGAAAGAAATATCCAAGCCGTTTGGTTGGCATCGAGTTTCCTTAAAAATCAGGAGTCTTGCACCTTTTAAGGAGATGAGCCAAAGTATTTTATATAGGAAAATGTTACATAATTTAAATGAAATTTAAAATTTAAAACTCAAATGCATGTTATCTTTTGAATGAGTGTGGGGTAAGTGGATTTTACTAAAAAAGTTAATGTAATTCATTCATTCAATGGATGATATGTATTTGGATTATAATTTTTTGGTTTCATTTAGATTTTGTAACATTGTTCTTTCATATAACTAGTAACTGTTCTTATACCATTTTTTTTCCTGGAATTTTTGGAACATAGGTGAATGCTTTGAAATTTCCGCTTCCTAAATGGGAGTAAATATTGAATACAACGGTGATATCATGCCACCATTGATGATATGGTATCACTTACCAATAATAAAATTCTAAATAGGAAAGGTGAACCCCACTTGGGCTTACATGACAGGAGGATGAAAAGTTATTTATTTATATGACAGGTTAGTTATTGATTTTTGTGGGTTTCATGTGCTTATTTGTTGTAGTACTATTAGTTGGTGATACCACATCATCTTACCACACGATATCACCGTTGTAATGAATATTTTCTCCCTAAATGGAGATCCAGTTTCAAATGGGAACTGTCGATGCAATCTTGGAAGATTGAGGAAATATGCCTGGAGATTTGCTTTTCAATTTCAACACAGCCAAACTGCATTCCCCCACCCAAAAAAAAAGGCCACCAAATCCATTGGGGAACTATTCATTCTACTTTAGCGAGGACAAGGGAAAATTTGAAGAAAGCAAATGATCAAATAAACTACTCAATAGAACACAAATGATGAAATAAATCACTCAATAGAAACTACCCCAAAGTCCAAAATCAGATTTTTTTTTCCCCTCTTCTTCATTAAATTTTTTATTTGGTTGCTCTTAATTGCAGCGACTGCCATGTGCCTACAAAATCAAGAAAAACTTTTTCAAACTTAAATTCATTAATTTCGCTTAGAGTAAACATTTTGAGTTCTTTTCACCAAAACAATGTAACAAACATCTTGTGCGCATGTCTATGCCACTTTCAAAAACGAGACTCAATTCAACTGTCCACAAATATACCCAATCCCATATAATGCTTTCAGACACCTTTTTTGATGATTACTCATTGTAATTTGAAAGGCAATAAATATAGCTATTATACACGAACAATGTACACAAATTTGGAGCAGCACCATTATTTGGATGTAAATGAAACCCATTCGAGTAAGTACCATAGGAAGAAAATAATAAATGTATAATTTTCAGCTACCAAAAAGAGGAAAAAATGTTGGGTGTAACTGTTACACCACGTCAGTATCGTCACGTGGTATAGCCATCTATTAATAGGTAAACAAGTTAACAAATGAGCCTCACTAAAACTCATAACTAACCAGCCATACAATACATAACCACTTCCATGATAGGAAAAGAACCCTATTTTATCTTTTTTTTTATTATCTTATTGGATGGTAACACTTAATATTTACTCAAGAAAGAGAGACTATTGAAGTAATGCCTAACAGAAAGTTCCAGAAGATAGCCATTCCTCCAAATGAGAACAATCGCAGCATACCATTGCTCCACACAATATGCGAAATTAAAAAAATGAAATGCAAGAATCACGATTGTGCTGTCTGAATTGAGATTATGGGTGATGTTTTCGGTGAAGACGACTAGCTTATGTCATAACACTCTGATTGAACGCAAAGAAGCCTTGTCAATTTCTACCAATTACCGAACAACACAATCTGTGGTTGACAGTGCAAGGGTGCCTCTTTGATAGGGCTGTAAATGAATTGAGATGTTCGTAAACAGTTTGATTTGCCGACCTCAGACAATATGTTGTTTGGCTCTTTTTGGTTCGTGAACATGTCTATTCTATTATATATAAAAATAGAATTGTTAGGATTATTATTTAAATATTAAATTGTTTTTAATGGTATGTTCTTCACAATTGAGCAGAGGTGAATGACTTGGGGATCTTGTTGTGGATGTTAAAGGAGATTACTGGAATACCCAGTCAGAGTTTCTAGGCTCTTGGGGGTTGAACTATCAATTGAGGGAGATAAAATGAATGAAGATCAGTAGACAAATAATTTATAGCAGTTCACCAGTTCGGAAGCTTGACTAGTCTACCCTAATGGAGTCTCTTACTCCTAGAAAAGTTTTCTATTAAATGGGGAAAAGAGATTACATAATTACACAGAATAAAAACACAAAATGTTTGCTTGATTATAATGCGAGGGATTTGATCCTTAATTAAAGTATGTTGTTGCATTGTGTGATCTTTGCGATCCTCTTGTAACCAGCGCGGTCTTTGCATAATTAACGTGATTCCCTTAAGGCTGTTACATTCCATGTGCCAAAATACTTGGTTGTTAGAAGCTATATTCTCTAGGCGTGATGTGACCTTTTAAAAGATGTGAGTTGTTGTTGTGACTGTATGCATAAGGATTACGTTGGTGATGAAAGATATTTCTTCAAAAGTCATGAAATGTCGAGTTCCAATCAATCTATAGGTAATCTTTTAAAGGAGGTAGATTTGGAAGAGCAAGAAGATGAGAAAGAAATTCAAGAGGAAGAGTAAGAGGAAATTTTGGAAGAAGATCAAATGAAAAATCCACTTAACAAAAATATGGAATTTACAAAAGATTAAGTCATGTTGATAAAGATTGTTGGTTTTGTGGAAAGTCTCAATGTTTTAATCGTAAAAAGTTTGGTTATTTGCAAAAAAATTGACAGTTCAAAAAAAATCAAGAAGCTAATTTTTTCAAAGAGCGAGAAAGTTGTGAAAACATGTTCTACACTTGTCAAGCAATGTCTGAACAAAAAAATGATGTGTGGTATCTTGATAGTGGTTGTAGTAACTGCATAATCGGTGATGGTAATATTTTTGTGAACATTGACGCCACTTCTAATTCTCAAGTAAGAATGAGAAATGGTGTCATAGTTCAAATAAACTGCAAGGAGCCATTACCATTGGAACGAAGAAAGAAACAAGATACATCCAATATGTCTTGTTAGTACCCGACTTGGAACAAAATTTTTTGAGTGTTGGTCAAATTGTAGAGCATTGGGTACTCCGTGGTGTTTGAAGACAACTCTTGCATGATATATGATTGTGGAGAGAAAAAATAATTTATAGCGAAAATTGAGATGGAGAAAAACATAATTTTTCCTCTCATTTTTTAGTATGCACACAATGTTTCTTTGAATATGGAAGTTGTTGATGAATCTTGACTTTGACATAGAAGATTTGGGCACTTGAACTTTTAAATCTTGAAAATCATACAACAAAAGAATATGGTTTATGGATTGCCATCTATACAAGAAGTTAAAGAAATATGTGAAGGAAGTACACTTGGAAAGCATCATCAATATCCTTTTTCAAAAGAAAAACTTTGGAGAGCCAAATTATTGTTGGAGCTTGTTCACATTGATGTATGGAGACCATAAAAAATACTTTCGCATGGAGGTAACAAATACTTCATAATCTTTATTGATGTTTTTTCAAGAATGACTTGGGTTTATTTTACAAGACAAAAATTCAAAGTTTTTCAAGTATTCAAAAAGTTTCAAAAGTTTGTTGAAAGACAAAGTGTAATATATCCATTAAGTTGTTAAGAAGTGATAGAGGTGGTAAGTATAAGTCTAATGAATTTAATAAGTTTTGTGAAAATATTGGTATGAAAAGACAATTGATGGTTGGGTATACTCCAAAATAAAATGGAGTGGCCGAAAGAAAGAATAAAATCATTTTTGAGATGATAAAATTGATGGTTTATGAGAAGGGTTTACCTAAATCATTTTCAACCAAAGTGGTATACACGACGGTTTATTTGATGAATAGATGTCCAACAAAAGGCTTTGGAGAATCAAACTCCGATTGAAGAATGGTGTGGAAGGAAACCATCGATGAATCACTTAAAGGTTTTTGGGTGTATTTGTTTTGCACATGTTCCTAAAAAAGTGAGATATAAGTTTGATGAACATAGTAAAAAATATATTTTTATAGGTTATAGCTCTAAATCAAAGGGTTATAAATTCTTTAGTTTGAAGAGAAACAAAGTGGTTATTTGTAGAGATATTCTCTTT